TCTTCTGTTAATGCCATCACTCAATTGAACTCTGTAATTTCTAGTCTGTCATTTTCTCACAGAAGTTTTGTCAACTTCGTCAACTTCTCTGGCATCTAAGCCAAAAGGCACCTTGTGCTGACCATCTCCAGGATATGGTCCATCATACTGACACTTTAAATGTGGATCACATCTAGGGTCTAACACTATTTGACAATGCCCTTTAAACAGAGAATATAGAAGGATGAACCACTACACTCCAGTCTGAGGGATTGATAGCACATCAGGGTTGAGATGACACTGGGCCATCATAGATACTTAGACCCTAAAGCTCTTTTAAATTAAGAAGACAAAGTTCCCAGATGAAGAATCCCCAGAGTGTTGAATTTATTGTCCCCTGAGGAGAAAGAGCAGAAATCTCATAGGCACTGAATTTAAAGCTATATTTTAGATAAGATCGAAAACAACTTTCTTGTCCTTTTTATAAAAGAGGCAGGCATAGTTTTTATTTGGTCCATGTGAGTTGGTCTAAGGCCTCAATTCAATTCAAAGTGAGAAAAATGCATACAAGGAGGAGGAAGATGTGTATATGCATAATATCAATTTATATCAAGCACACAAATACAAGTTCTTCTTAAACTGTGGGAAATGTGGCTGAGATGTTATACTTTTACCCTGCTTTCAAATAGCTTCCTATGGATTTGCCAAAGCTATCTTTTTGGAAGAAAGGTTTGTGTTGGAAGGCCTTTCACATTCTTAATGGGAATTTTTTTTTTTTGTCTTTTTTTTGCAAACAAATTTTACACCTCTTTATAATTGTACAAATGAAACAAAACATGTTATCCTGCTTTGACTGTCTAAACAGTCTTTTGAGAAGATTTGGCCTTTAAATATGATAAAGATGTAAAGTTTTTACTAGAAGATATTTATCAGATAGTAAAGAAAATATTAATGTTATAATGTGAACCTTCCATTTTCCAAACTCAGTGGAATGTTCAGAATCTTTTTAAACATCACCCATTACATCCCTGGTAATGTTCTATTCTGGGTTTTAGGGTTCCATGAGACAATTACCAGTAGCAGTTTCACAGTATCTGTCTGAGTGCTTTCATTTAGCATGAGAATTACAGCTAAAAGAATACATACTATCTGCTAGGAAGAGCTCATATTTTTGACTACAGCGATCAGTATCATATTGTTTTTGATAAATGTGACCTTTATCAGCTCTGTTTGTTGGGCTGCTTTTGACGGTTTCTTTCATTTCTTAGAGACTTCTGGTTAATGTGCCTGTAGTTAAGGTGATTGAACACTAGATGGCACTCATTACATTCTTATTTTCTTAGATATGCTCTTCACCTTTCACATGCCAAATTGAAGAAATTCTGACACAAGGTAACTGAATTCTTAGTGTTGTCTTGTATTAGGCTCACATCCTCCACTGATCTGTGAAATTATTGAGAACAAGAACTCTGCTCTTTGTTTCTTCTTTCGACACACACATATATGTACCTGTGACACACATTTCAGACACATTCACTCACGATGGCACAGAGCCTTTTTCATGAGAACAGGAAGAGATGGAAAATTCAAAAAAAGGATTGGTAAAGATTTTTTTTAAATGCATCTTTTATTGTCAAAAAATGCTTATAATATTCACTTGTACATGTGACCATTAAATAAAAATTCCATTTAGAATGAAATAAGAAGGAAAATTCTTCTTCAGTGAATAATTCTTGACTCATACTACTTCTGTTGTTTATAATTTCAGTTCTTTATAAAAGCACTAGTGCCATCATCTAATTAAGTGGTGATAACAATAGTTGTCTCACTGGATTGATTTCATGATGAAGTATGCATATATCATGAACATTCTCTGGATACCCTTAGAACCAGACATTGCCCATTTCTTGTATGCCAGGAGTGGTTCTTACCACTCTCCCTGTGAATGCATTTTTTACTGTTTACAATAATCCTGTAATGTGTATCATCTTATTATCACTTACCATGCTGGGAAACTAAGTCACAAAGTGGTAAAATAAATTGTTCAAGGCCACATGGCTGGCACACACTCAGAATGTTGTTATGAATCATCATCGTCCTTATTATTTGCAGTGGTTGTAAGGTTTGCAGTCTTTCCTGGAGGTGTTATTGGGAAAAGGAAAAGAGTGTTATCTTTCAGATGAAGGTAACTGCATCTGATCTAATGAAATCTCCTGACCTTCACCATTGTTGTGGATGCAGGTTTTGCTCAGTAGGATTCCATCCAAACTAATTAACCACATGCAGAGAGGTTGTATGCCTCTCTCTACAGGCTTGCTTGCTCTCTGCCGCTTCTCTCTGGGGCCCTTCCTTTGTTATCCCCTGTGGACTGGGGGTTTCTCAGTAATAAACAGAGAAAGTCATGCCTTTTGGCTTATTTAATGGAATCAGAATGATGATGATATTTACAGAAATCAGAAATTCAGGGAGGGTATGGACACATTGAGTGTGAGGTACCTGCTGATGGTCAATGGAACTGTACCCCTTGAAGTGGGTCCAGGGCCATGAGCTCAGATATTTTGGATGTATACACAATTAGGAGGGATGGAAGCACATGCACAGATGACCCCAAAGGAGACATGCCTCACGTGGTGTATGACCCATAGAAGATGTTCCTTAAATCTTGGCTAAAGACATGAATGATAGGATAGCTACTACCTGGTTCCAGAGTCTGTAACCAAGTCCTTTACAATCAGCTTCTACTGAACTTGCACTACTGTTGTCATTAGGCCTTTTTACAGACAAGACAGTCCACACTGTTAGTTGGTGAGGTGGTGCAAATGTTGCCAACAGTGGAGCCTCAGTCCTTGACCACAGGGCTGCACTGCTGCAGGGCCGAGGCTCTTTCGACTTCTATGCATGGACCAAAGTGCCCTCTTCTTGCACTCTGCCCAATATGTGTGTTAGGGATTCTCTCTTCATCTTTTCATAAATCCCTGCCAGGTCTCTTGGTGCAGTTCAAAAGCCTCAGTGTCCCCAGCCCACCACATCCCCCTTTGTTTTAGCTACACTCTTGCTTCTTCATCATGCTCTTGTTGCTTTGGATCTGAACACACAGATCCCAACACACAGTTGGGCTTCTGCTTCCACTGCTAACTACTCATTGACTTCAAACAAGTTACTTAAATTAACTGCTGTAGTGAAATGGCACATGGAGAACATACTTTCAGTGGGGATTTTTTGCCATTTACTCTAAATAAATTGTGAATGATTTAAATTGTGACTTCACATTTATCGTCTGATTCACCTGTGAGTTTCTAAGATGCTGGCACAGTGAGTCACAAATTTGATTTGAATTGGATATATCCTATTACTGATTTCCCTCCCTCCCTCCCTCCCTCTGCCTTCTGCTGTTTGTGATTTGACCAGCTTCTGTCAGCATGTATGGGTCCTGAGGTTCAAGGTCAAGTTACATTCATCTTTGCATATTATGAGCAGTCTATTGACCAACCTGCTGAGAACCAGGTGGCCTTCGATTTATACCAATTAAATGAAATATGGAGTATGTTTGATGGATGCTGTTGTTATGACCTCATTGGGTGGTTGAGGCAAAAGAAATGTAATGTGGGGAGAATCATAAAACATGCATCTTTCTTTTTTCTTTTCTTTTTTTTCAAAAAGGTGTTTTTGATGCTTTTGCAAGACTCCAGTAAGAAATCTCATATTGCTCTAGGGACCCACTTACAGCCTCAGAACCAGAGATCCACTGGACCTTCTTCTGCGTATTGTAAGTGAAGAGTGGTGTTTTGTTTTGGCTTATTTGTTTATTTAGTTATTTATTTTATTTTATATTTCAGTTAGAAGAACGATGCCTTTGACCTTACATACCATCCTTTGTTTGAAAATTGGAGTAACCAGAGCCTATGGGACTAGATAGTGAGGGGGACTTAAGTGAATAGAGGTCAAACATTAAAAGCTTAGAGTTTTGTCTGATTTGAAACCGACAACTGTGTGTTTATGAGGCAATTTGATCTTTTCTGCAGACCTTATATCAGAAATTTCTCAGTGTATACGGTTAGAATAAGGAACACTGTTCATCTTGCTTTACCTTCATGACAAATTGACCAATGTAGTCTGTATTTGTGGCAGGCCTATGTGTGCAGGAACTTTGTGGGTAATGGGTTTAAGAAACTACAGATGTGTGCTTTGTGTTCATGGAGAGTGTCCACTTCAGATAAAAATGGTTCTCATTTTTGTTTGCAGACTTCCTTATATATAGGTCTTAAGGATGACTGGACAGAATCAAGATTTGGTTTCTAAGCGTGAGACTGTAATTCTGATTCAACCCAATTCCAAGCATACTTATTAGCAACAAGTTACCAAAGAGGACAGGGCTCTAGGAACTGGAAAGTTAAAAGACTTGGAGCCTCTCTTTAAAGACATCAGACATGGGATACAGATCCATGAATAATTCACTGGAATAAGTATGTTAAAATGTTTTTATCCTGGTGCATTGCACATACCTATAATCCCAGCAGCTGGAGAAGCTGAGGCAGGTAGATGCAAGTTCAAAGCCAGCCTCAGCAATTTAGCAAGGCCCTAAGCAACTTAGCAAGACCTTCTTTCAAAATAAAAAATAAAAAAAGGGCTCAGGATGGGGCTCAGTGGTTAAGCATCACTGCATTCAATCTCTGGTACCCCCCCCCCCCCCAATGTTTTTAATAGATATTTAATGTGTTCTCTCCATTACTGTATGAGTGAAATAATTGCTGTTTTCCTTTGTAGCTCTCGTTATCGTCACATTTTAAAAACTATGTATTTTAATAATTAAAATAGATGCTTAATAGTTTTCATTATGGTTTTAGTTTGCATTTTCCCAATGATTATTATGACAAGCATATCTTTTTTCCTTTATAACAGTTTTCTTGAGATATACTTCACATGTTCCACGGTTCATTCATTTCAAGTGTGCAATTTAGTGGCCTTCACAGTTTTGCATCCATAACCACAATCTACCTTAGACCATTTTCATTACTGTAAAAAGAACCCCCATGTCACTTGGGCATCGCTGTACAATATGCTTGTCCCCTGCAGCCTTAGGAAACCTCATCCTTCATATTCCTATAGGCTTACCTATTCTGGACACTTTATATAAATGTAATTATATGTGTTCTTTGGGACTTGCTTCTTTCATTCAGCATATTTTTTTTTCAAAGTTTACTCACATTGTAGCACATGTCACTCAGTACTTCACTTCTTTTGATTGCCAAATATTGTTCTATTATACCACATTTTGTTGGTCTATTCAGGAGTTGATGGGTACTTGGTTTGTTTCCAATTTTTTACTATTAAAGATATGTTGCTGTGAACATTTGTGTACAAAATTTTTATGGACCTGTGTTTTCTCTGATGTGGACATATAGGAGTACAATTGCTTGGTCATATTTAAACCATTTGGGGAACTGACAGGTTGTTATCTAGAGTGTCTACACCTAATATTTCCAGCAGAAGTATAAGGATTCTGATTTTTCTATGTGCTCACTAAAACTAATAATTAATAATGTTGAATCTCTTTTCATGTGTTTGTTGGCATTAATAAACCTTTGAAGAAATGTCTAATTGAATTCTTTGTTCATTTTTGAATGAGGTCATAGTTTTTGCTTGTTTTTATTGTTTAGTCATAGGAGTTATTTATTTGTTCAGGATATCAATCCCAGTGTATTCAGTTGTTTGAAGAGGAGCAACTTATTTTCGTCTGTTATTTATGCTTCTTCTAAATGCTGTTTAATTCTCTGTGTCTTTCTTGGTGTTCTGTTGGGTTGTTCTCTCCACATTGGAGGTGGGCATTGAAGCTTCCTATTATTTATGTAGAACTGTCTATTTTTATCTCCATTTCTTTCAGTGTTTGCTTACTATGTCTGGGAGCTCTTGTATTTGGCTCCTATGTGTTTATAATTGTTATATTCTCTTGGTGAATTGATTCTTCTTATGACAGGGTCACCTTAACATTCTTCTTTGTCTCTTGCTATTGCTTTCTACTTATCCTATTTGGTGTGATTTAGTATGGTGACACTGGCTCTGTTTTGGTTACTATTTGCATGAAGACAGTAATATAGTTTAATCTTTTTTTTTTATAATCAATGCTGCCAATCTACACCTTTGATTAGAGAGTTTTATCTATATAAGGCAATTCTGGATAGGTAGCCCTTATTTTGCATTTTGCCATTTGTTTTCAGTGTGCTTTATAGCATGTCATTCCTCTTTCCTTACATTGCTTTCCTGTGTTTCTTTGTTTTCATAATGACATGTTTTGGTTCTGTTCTCATTTGCTTTTATGTGTATTTTATAAATATTTATTTGTGGTTAGCAAGGGGATTAGATACAATATCCTAAAGTTATAAGAATCTAACTTAATGGTAACTTAACTTCAGTTGCATACAAAAACTTTAGCACTTTGCATCTCTACTCCACCCACATAAATTGCTGGTGTCAGAAGTATGCATAGTATATGTAAATTATATATATTATATAAATTACTATTTATATGTTATGTGTTTATTAACATAGACATAGTTTTTTATGATTTGGGCTTTTAAATCCTGTAGAAAATAAAAAGCAGAGTACAAAGCAAAATTATGGTAATCATGATTCTTATGTTTGTTCACGCATTTGTGTTTCTCATGGAACTTTCCATCTGATGTGTCTGGGAGTTATTGTCTATCGTTCTGTCATTTCAGCTTAAAGGCTCCCTTTAGCATTATTTATGGAGAACCTCCATTAATAATGTACTTCCTTAGCTTTTGTGAATGTCTAATTTCTCCTTCATTTTTGAAGAATATTTATGTCAGATATAAAAAAAATTAGTTTGACTTTTTTATGTCACTAATTATTCGCTGTCTTCTGACATGCAAGTTTTCTCCTAAGATAACTGCTGATAGTCACTCTTTGTACAGGACCAGTCTCTCTTCTCCTGGTATTTTCAAGATTGTCTCTTTTTCTTTGACTTTGATAGTCTGTTTATAATGCCATTTGATGTAGGTCTTTGGGTTTCTAGTGCTTGGAGTTCACTGAGCTCCATGTATTAGAATATCTCTGTGTCCTCAAATTTGGAAAAACTTCTGCCTTTGTTTCTCTCTCTTCTGTCTCTACAAATTTCAAAATGCATGTATTGGTCCACTTGATATTGTTCCATATGTGCCTTGGGCTCTTTCTACTCTTCTCCATTTTTTTTTCATTCTGTTCTTCAGACCCAATTATTTCCACAGACATCCTCATGTTCTTTGATTCTTCTGCCCATTCAAATCTACTTTTGAACTTCTCTAGTGATTTTTTTTCTCAATTTAGTTATTATATCTTTCATTTCCAGAATTTTTCTTTAGTCCTTTTATATATGTTAAAATAGCTTCATCCCTTTACTTAGTTCTCGTTTGGTTTGTACATTGTTTTATTGATTTCCTTTAGTTCTTCATCCATATTTTTCTTTAACTTATTGCAAATATTTAGGAGTTGTTTTAAAATCTTTAGCGTGTGTTTCTCCAGAGATTGCTTCTGCACAATATATATTTTTTTATTTGGGCTTTTAAATCCTTTAGAAAAAATATATTTTTTTAAAAAAAATTGTCATTAGCATGGGTCAGATTCCCCTATTATTTTTATTTTTGTTTTTTGTTTTGTTTTTGTTGTGATGATACGAGTTAATGTGTGTGTGTGTGTGTGTGTGTGTGTAATCATTTGATAAGGACTTGGCATTTAGTGTTTCCCTGAGTCTTGAGATTTCCCTGGGTAAAGGCTTATGGTATTCTTAGTTCTTTTCTGCACATGAATGTTCTTTGGATCTCTGCAGATATGTGCTTTTTTCCCCCTTCTGATTTCCTTGACCAGTTTTAAATGTTTTAGATTCTCAAAGAGTCTTAACCTTAGCTTCATTTCAGGGCCAAATATGTTCTAATATATCTCTTACCTATAATTTCTTGCCTCAGGCTTTCATGTATCTATATACTTTCTTTAGTTTTCCTGTCCTGTGGTGTCCACCAATGCCTTCTGTGGATCAAGTCTCTTATCCTAACAATTCTGCTATTCCAGTGTGAATTGTGTGTCATGTTGCCCTTCCTGTGTGAATGTGAGCCCTGCTGCCATTCTTGTATAAATGTGAATCCTGCTGCCCTTCCTGTGAGAACTGTGAGCCTAGTGACCATTTCTGTGTGCACTGTGAGCCCTGCTGCTCTTCCTGTGTGAACTGTGAGCTCTACTGCCATTCCTGTGTGGATTCTGAGTTTTGCTGCTCTTCCTGTGTGAACTCTGAGTCACACTGGCATGCCTGTGTGAACTGTGGATACTTACTGCTTGCTTTCCTGTGTGAACTCTGAGTCCTGTTGCCATTCTCCTGTGAACTCTGAGCAATGCTGTTTTCCTGTATGAACTCTGAATCCAGTAAGACAGATGCCATCCCTGACGTAGTCCCTAGTTAGGCCAGAATTTTGAAAACCTCTATTCTGCTCTTCTGCCCCAAAGGAGGGATTCAGGAATTGGACAGTCACCTCACAATGCCACCAAAATGGAGAAGAGTTATGGCAGAGTCAAATAAAAACACTGAAATATTTCCTACCATTTTGAATATGGTTTTCTTTTCTGTTTTAGGGGGTAAGATGGGATAGAAGTTTGCTTGGTTGCTATAAATTTTTGCTTGATTTCTAGAGCTCCTATAAAATCATTTTAGTCAGTTAGTAGTTGTTTATTGGTATCTTTATTGTGAAATTAGAGCCTAGAGCTCCTAATCTGCTGTTTTTC